TAGATGGATTTATGAATGAAATGTGAGTTTTGGTCACAAAACTACAAAACTAGATGGATTTATGAAATGTGAGTCTTTCAAAGAAATTGATTACCATACCTTTTAAAGAAGAATCTTCTAATCAATTTCTTCTTTAAAAAGGAAAAGTGGCCCACAAAACATCTTCCTTTGTTTACCACCGTAGATATCATCAGCCTTGCCTCTGCGCCGTAGATACATTTTTTTCAGTCACTTTGTTTGTTAGTACATTTTTCAAAAATGGATGAAAACTTAGTTTAATTAAAACAGTGTACACTGTTCATTTTGTAGTTTTGTGACCAAAACTCACAGAACTGTGATACTTTGGTCAAAAATACTCCCAGAAGCATATTGAAAATGGATTTATAGATTAAGGTCCCTACAAATCCATTTTGTAGTTTTGTGACCAAAACTCACATTTCATAAATCCATCTAGTTTTTGCCAATAAAAGTCTTGGTATTAATTAAACGGTTGATGCCTACATCAAACATCCCTTCAGTGAACTGGTATATCCAATCCAATGGCGCGTGGTGACACGCGGTCGTTGAAAGTGGGCAATCTGTGATACTTTGATAGAATCCTAGATTCTTTATTTTTGAGGCCCTTTCAGGACCACCTAAAATCCAAAAAATAGAGGAAGAAGGGAAGGGAATTGGAGGGAGTGGAAAAATGAGGAAATGTCCACTAGACAAAACCATTACACTTTTTTGATTGGCTTCTGGGAGGGGACATAAAAAAAGTTGGGGCATAAGCATTGATGAGCTTCACCAAATGAATCCCAAGAATATTTCTGCTTGGAATATGAAGAGGCTAATGAATATAATTCAGCATGGTCCACTTTCTACCTTGGACAAGCAGATAAAAGATAGCAAGTCAACTAAAATTAAAATCGAAAACGAGGCAAAAAACGCAGCAAAAAGGATATTTGAAAATGTTGCTAAGCCTAGATCTGAGTATGTTATTGATCTGTTTCTCTTGCACTTGTATTCAAAATATATTTTGTATATGTCTGTTGCATAACTAACGAGTGGTATGGTCAAAGTTGCCTCCAGGTCTTTTTATATTTTATTCATTAGAGGTGGTTCTCTATGTTTATCGTATTCTTAATTGTTTTCTTCTTTTGAAAGGCTTGTGATATGACTATTTTATCAGGCATATTGACTTGGAGGACATTAAGAGATTCATGGGAGAACATGAGGCTCGGAAGACTATGAGTCTCTTTGAAAAAGGATATGAAAGCAAGGGAATTAGCAAATCAGCAACGAAGAATTGGGTGGTGAGCATATGGCAATCTAAGCCACTAAGTTTGTTTTACTTAATACTTTTATTATGTCATGATAAATGTTTGTGCTTTAATATTTTTAAATGTCTTAGGTTAACGCCTTTAGAGAATGGACAACTCTTTCCTTGACACTGAATGATACTGAAACAATTGTTGAAAGACTTCATCGTGCGGTAAATGTCTTGGTCATTATCATCATAGTAGTCGTAAGTCTCCTTATACTAGGAATAACAACTGGGAAAGTCCTTCTCATGGTTAGCACTCAAGTTTTTTTGCTTGCTTTCAAATTTGGACACTTTGAAGACAATATTTCAATCAATTGTCTTCATATTTACAACACATCCATTTGATGTTGGTGACCGTTGTCAAATTGATGGCGTTCAGGTAAGTTGATAATCAAATGAACTACGTCCTCATCTAGTCATCTTTGGTCTTTATGGTTTTACAATTTTCTGTTTCTCGTATGTTTGTGGCCTAAATTGAAATGCAATGGATTCCAATGGTAGTGGAAGAGATTGGCATCTTGAACACTATTTTCTTGGGATATGACAATGAGAAGATCATAATCCCAAATAGGGTCCTTGCTAGTAAACCCATTTGTAACTTTTATTTAAGCCCTGACATGGGAGATGAAATTGAGTTTTGTGTCCACATAGCTACTCTAGTGGAAAAGATTTATATGATGGAAAGAAAGATACTAAGGTAAGTTTGCTTGCTTGCTTGCATGTGGGTTTGTGGGCACTCATGTGTAGGTAATTTAAGTAAATGGCTTTGATCTTAATATGATTGCTTTGATGTATATATCGGCATATGCAGGAGTCCTTATGCGTATATAACACTAAAATTGATTATTTTGTCCTAATGCAGTTCAATAAAAGAATAATAAGAAACATTGGTATATGGAGACAAAGATGGTCTGCAAGGACATTGAAGACTTGAATAAGCTGAGGTTTAAAGTCTCTCTCAAACACAAAATGAACTATCAGGACATAGAAGAGAGGGGGAATAGAAAATCACACCTGCCTAGTGAGATTACCAACATTTTAAGGGAATTGGAAATAATTTAGTTGCCTTAGGAATTCAATGGTTTTTGTATACAATTATAGTTTACATTTCAAATTTAGTTTTGTACTCAGTATGATTATTAATTTGGCAAGCATATGATTGTTAGTTATTCATTTGTTCTTCCTTCGATTGCTGCGATTTCTTACTAGCTTGATTGCCACTCAGTTCTTAAAACCATGTTTGATTTCATTATATCTTTAAGGATTTAATTTCAGTCCTTTTTCTTTTATAGGCATAAATTTCATTTGGTTAAATGTCAAGTTTAGGAGGATTTCATTTTGCTACAAATAAATTTTAGAGGCTATTAGAGAAATGTTTCTTCCTTTCAATGTGATGATTGTTTGGAATTGAGCTTAAATATTGACTGTGTTGGTTTAAGGATGAGATTATAGTATTATATACCATCAAGGGAACTTTTATATTCCCATGTATTATTGTATTGATCAAAGACAAGTCAAGGGCTTCTTTTGTCTATTAACTTGGCGTCGGATTTATCTCTTACATATTGTAAAGTTAGCTACAATTTTTCTTCTACTACTCCTTTACTATGCCTCTTTAACATGTTCATGTAAAATTAGTATCACAAGCAAAAAGATTCTTCTTTTGATAGCCAATTTCACTAAATAAATTTACATTCCAAAGAAGTCCATGTTGACGACCACACTTAAAATTAAAAACAAATATTATTAAGTTAAGTGTGAAAAATATAAAAAGAGAGTCGTCACTTATCCAAATTATAAGGTGAAACAAGTCACCTAAAACGGATTTGCACAGAGATCGAGGTTCGGGAGTTCGGTTAGGAGTGAAGAAGGGCATATGCGTACCTCCCAATCCTCTGTTTAAACATGATTGCATACTTTAACATTGGGGTTTTGATTCAAGTTATTCATTATCTGTGTTTAAGTCTTAATAAGGATAAACCAAATTGAAACATTTTTTAATTTTTGGACTGAAATGAACAAATCAAGAACATGTATGCACAATAAGCACAAATGAACATTAAAGGGACTAATTTGATTAAATTCAAAATATGAAGGACTGACTTGATTAAATTCACAAACATAGAGGACTAATTTGAAAAGACTTGAAACCTTTGGATTAAATTGCTTAATTAAAAAAGTTTTGGGTGAAATTTGAAATAAATAAAGGTAATTTTGACTTTTACCAAGACTAAAGAAAATTAAGGATTTAAGTTAATTAACTATGATAATTAATTTAATTAAATGATTAATTTGATATTAAATAAAATTAATTAAAATTAATTAATCATATTTACCAACTTAATTAAGATCATTAAATAAATCTAATAATCTCAAATTCAAGTGAATAAAAATGATTAATTTATTTTAATTAAAGTTAATTAATTTCATCAATCATAATAAATTAAACTGATTAACCTAATTAATTATTAATCATTCTTACACATATGTATATATACATTTTTTGTTTCATTTTAGCTTTTTCTCTTTTTTTTTTTTTTTTGCCTTCTTTTTATTTACTAGACTGGATCGGGTTAACCCAATTCAGAAACATAAATCCACTAACTCAAATGGACAAATTAAAACAGATCAAATGTAAAACAAAGAAACTTGCAATTAGAGTTTATGTTCGTTAAATATTTATTATTAATTATTAACTACTTAAAAAAATTAATCTAATCAACCTATAAATATAAATGAATTCGATGGTACAATCAGGCCCTCATCTCATGTTTTAGAAAATTAAAGATAATGAATTCTCCAAAACACTAAAATTTCCGTTTATGATTGTCTTTTTATTTAATAATAAAATACAATCCAATATAAATTGAAACATAAATAAATGGAAAGAAAGAAAGAGACAGCTACTACCCAAAAAAAAAAAAAAAATGGAATAATGGGTGAATAAACAAACGTATGGTATTATATAAGTTTTTCCGGAGTTGGAAATCCTATGGGGTATGGACAAGAAATTAAGGGCAGATATCATTTCCTGAGATAGCTCCAAGGTCCAGTTCCAGTCCCCATCCTGCAAAATAATTTTGGGCATAATTAATTAGTCTTCATATCATTTTCTATGAATGAAAATACAGTGAGAGAGAAAAAAAAAAAATAAAAAAATTACGTACCTCCATACACCAGCAAACATGCGCAGAATCATGTAAATGGTTAAGGCAATCCAGATTCCAACGAAACCATTGCTTTTAGAGAGAAAGAATAAGGAGCCAATGCTCACTCCGGCCACTAATTCCTGAGCAAACCAAATTAACATATAATTAAAAGTTTTACTTTCTCTAATTAAGTCCCTGAAAAAAAAAATCATCAAAACATGTGTTATGAATATATTTATTTACCATGGAGTAAGCAGTATATGCAAAATCAGATGCTCCGAAATTTATCCCATCAAAAACAAAGGCTATTGAGTTGATTGGTTGTGTAGCTGCTACAATCTGTTAAAGTTGATAAAAAAATAAAATAAAATTTAATTCAGGTGGTTTAATTGAGGTTAATTAATTAATTAATGGATCAGAGATGAGTTATGTAGAAGAGTGAGTAATCACAGGTAATCCTATGCATATAATTTCTAAACCCTTAGGATCCCTGGAAAAGATCCCTGATCCATATATAGTATAGACCAAGTCCAAACAACCACCGAGAGTACCATTCCTAGAACAAAAATTTATCTGCAATACTCTAGCTAGTTGCAGTGGATGTCACCTTGTTCATATTCTTCTCAGCAAATGCACAAGCAAGAAGTGCCTGCCCGGCTACGGCTAAACCGTCAGCTAGAAGGGATGAAGTGAGCCACACTTGTAAGCAGATCTGAAATGCAGCCATTGGTGTTGCGCTCACTAGGGTATAGTACTAATTTCAATTGGTAAGCTTTCACACATTTTTTATAATGCTCATAAACAATGACATAATAAAGATCTTTTTTAGTATTTATCATTAACTTTCATATTCTTCAAAATTAATCACTCCTAGTTGATTTTAGGGGTGCATTGTATATTTTAAAAAATTAATTTTTTCTAGATGTTAATCCAAAAACTTGAATCCTAATCCTAATTTACAAAATAATACTTGTTTATCAATAAATTTAACTCTTGAATTTCACATAATAAAGATAATTGTATATGAAAATGCCCCCACAAAATAATACTCAAAATCAAAATACAAATCTAAAATCTCGAATACACACCAAAGAAATAAAAATCTCAGATAAGGAGAAATTTAGTAAATTACCAAAAACAAAAAAGAATTAACTCGTGGGCCGTGGATGATAATAATTGCCCAAAATCCAAATGAGATAGGAATTGGACTGAAGTATACCTCTTTATGGACCCAACCCAGGCGGCATGAAAGAAAGCCCAAACTCGAATTATTTATGGGGGCCATTACCTTTATTTGAGGATCTACAGAAAAAGCCATTAAAACGACGTCGCTTGAATTAAAAATTAAGCGATAAATCAGAATAACTAATTAAATAAAATGGAAGTTACGGAAATTACATGGACGGTTATTCTCTGCCTTGATTTCTTTTAGCTTCGAGAACAGTGTATCAAACCCCGCCGCTGAAATTCCGACCACCAACAGATACTCTGATTCATCGTATTTCAGAAGCTCATTTTCTCCGGCTACCTCACCGACGTGAAGACTCATCTCGCAGTAGTCTGGTTTAACAAAGAAAAAGAAGAAGAGTAAATGGGCAAGCTTTAATTTCTCCGAGAAGTCGAAAGGCCAGTCCGACATTTACCGTCTTGGGTTTCTTGATTGGCATTTTGAGATGGGTCGAACCAGATGACCTTGAGAGTGGCGGGAGACACTTCAAGAGAAAAACCCAAGAAATTGAGTTAGATTTGATGAGGGATTTCAATCAATTTCGATTCTTGAAACAGGAAATGAAGAGGGGTTCTAGAAATTGCAGTTGGGTTCGTCGGGGTTGTATTCTTCATCGGAATCTTCTTCTTTAGGGTCGATTGAGAGGGATAAGGCACTTCTTCCGTTATTTGCTTCGAAAAGAATAAGAAGAAGCGTTCTGATATTCAGTCTTCTTGAGCAAGATTCCCAACAGTTGAAGAAATCGCAACCTCCGGAGAGGATACGCAGAGCAGCAACGATGTTGCCACCATACTTGACTGTAAGTGACTGCCGGCGAGAATTGCAGGGTGGCCATGGCGATTCCACATCCTATCAGTTCCGCAACAGCGTTCTCGAACAGGGTGCTTTCGCGTATCTCAAGGTCCAACAACATAGCCGTTTTGCAGTTTGGCTGTTTGGCAGGGTTTACTCTCTTCTTCTAGGTAATATAATTACAGAAAACTGGTTTGCAGCCGGTGATGTCAATTTTTAGGTAAGGTCTTTATTTCATTATCATGTTCATAATGTTCATTATAAGTTTTAACATTCAATAATGTTTTCTTGGAGGTAATTCTTTTGCTTTTCTACACCTGTTTATTTAATATTGTGGTTGAGTTTATATTCAGGTTAGTCATATATCTAATGTGCATGTTGTTGACATTTCATTACTTCTTAGTTTTTAGGAATTTGGTTGTTCATTATGATTTGCAAATTTAAATATATATGAATTGTCCAAAACTTTGCTGCTTCATGTTGTTTTCATTGACTCTTAGAAAGGTTGACTCCTGTTGGGTGAGTGCTTTGAGGAACTTTATGGTTTGATTTTTTACTTTTAAGAGTAGGTGCATTTTGTAACTTTCAATTCCGTGACCTAGTTTTTCATAGGCTTTGAACAACCTTCATTAGCCTTCATGATGAAGACCAAAGAAAAAACAAAAAATGGATGAGTTTTTGAAATGGAGGGAAGTTGGCACTCTTCATGTTTGATTTTGATACTAATTCCAGTCTATTATACATTTGAGTTCTGTACTCTTAAGTTGAAATGAACAGATGGAATCACGGATGGGATTTGGAAAATTTGTAAAAGAGGCCATGGAAGCGGAAGTGTAAAATCAGGATTGCTGCTACCTTATATGGCATTTGGAGAGCAAAGAGCCAGTTGGTGGTGCTGGAAAAAGTATAGAATGTAAATAGTGTTTCCAAGACCATAAATACCCAAATTTTGATTCAAAGTTTTGCCAAACTGTAAAGAGAAATTTACCCAGGTGTGCCCGAGTGTAAGATGCAAAATTCTTTTTATGCAATGGAAAGAGCTTGTACCTTTTGTCTAAAATAAATTGTAGTCAATTGTATTCCTTTTCTTATTCTGCAATTGAGGCAGACTTTTATCTTCTTTGTGTAAATTGTTGTGAAATTGTGTATCAGAAGAAGCATCTTTTTGCTTGTGATACAAATTTTACATGAACATGTTAAAGAGACATCATAAAGGAGTAGCAGAAGCAAATTTACAGCCAACTTTACGATATGTAAGAGATAAAACTGGCACCATGTTAAGAGACAAAAGAATCCCTTGACTTGTCTTTGATCAATACGATAATACATGGGAATATAAAAGTTCCCCTGAGAGTATATAATACTATAATCTCATCCCTAAACCAACAAAGGCAATATTTAAGCTCAATTCTAGAAAATCATCACATTGAAAGGAAGAAGCATTTCTAATAATAGCCTCTGAAATTTATCTGCAGCAGAATCAAATCTTCTTAAACTTGACATTTAACCAAATGAAATTTATGCTTATAAAAGAAAAAGAACTGAAATTAAATCCTTAAAGATGATAATGAAATCAAACATAGTTTTAAGAACTGAATGGTGTTGTACCTATGATTTTGATGATTACAAAACACATTTGAGTGACTAATTGGTTTATTTAAGTGTGTAGTTAAGTTGCTAAAAGGTTGCAAGTAAACTTGGATTGCACTAAAAATAGACCAAAAGGATTCAATGTGCAGAGAGCCGGCTCATGAAAGCTGCAGCCGGCTCTGGTGAAATGGAAGTGCGGATAGCCGGCTCTAGAAGTTGCAGCCGGCTCTACAGGCAAAAATTTGAAGAACGTTGTTTGGCGCGCGCAGAGAAAAGACGCAAAGCCGACTCCAACTTTATAGCCGGCTGTGAGGGTGCATTTAATGCACAACGGTCAATTCTTTTGAAGAATATTTAATGTATTTAAAGTCGGAGTTTCAAAGCCGGCTCAAAGTCTTGCAGCCGACTTTCGAGGAAAACAGAATGTGCAGGAAACCCGCAGAGCCGGTTGCAGAAATGGTGAGCCGGCTGAGCAGAGCCGGCTCTAGTAAGTTAAGCCGGCTCTCCTGACAGTTCTGCAACTCGAGCCATGCGTCCTGCAGAGCATTTAATGACCCCCAACGGCTATTTTCGAGCGAGGGGCTATAAATATGGTTGGTAACAGATGTGAAGGGGTTTAGAGAGCATTGTATTGAATATCTTTACCTACCTACATGTGCTTTAACTTGAGATTTTGATCTTTGAGAGATCTTTGTTTGTAATCCTCTTCTTGTGCTATTAGTGAGTGATCTTGGGGATGTGTTGATTCCTTCAAGAGTGATCTGTAGAGAGGATCTTTGGGGTTAAAGTGTAAAGGGGTGAGATTTGAGAGAAACCCTTCTTCTTGTAAAGGATTGAGTGGCTCCTTTAAGCCACCATTGTTTTTGATAGTGGAGAGTGTGGAGGAAATCCTTGGTGAGTGAAGCCAAGGTAGAGGACTAGGTTCAAAGTGGTTGGACCGAACCTCTATAAAATCATTGTGCAAGCTCTTCTTCTTCACTCTCTCTTTAATTTTTGTTTGGTGGTTGCAAAGAGGCGAAAATTCTCCAACTCCAATTCACCCCCCCCTCTTGGAGTGCATTGAGTCAACAAATGGCAATCAAAGGAGTGAGAAATCACAGCAATGGAAGGAAGAACAAATGAATAACTAATATTCATATGCTTGCCAAATCACTAATCATACTGAATACAAAACTAAATTTGAAATGTAAACCATAATTATATATAAAACCATTGAACTCCTAAGGCAACTGAATTATTTCCAATTCCCTTAAAATGTTAGTAATCTCACGCAGCAAGTGTGATTTTCTATTCTCCCTTTCTTCTATGTCCTGATAGTTCATTTTGTGTTTCAAAGAGACTTTCAACCTCAGCTTATTCAAGTCTTCAATATCCTTGTAGATCATCTTTGTCTCCGGATACCAATGTGTCTTATTATTCTTTATTAAACTGCATTATGAGAAAATAATTAATTTTAGTGTTATATACGCATAAGGACTCTTGTATATGTCGATAGAGACATCAAAGCAATCATATTAAGATCAAAACCATTTACTTAAATTACCTACCCATGAGTGCCCACAAACCCACATGCAAGCAAGCAGGCAAACTTACCTTAGTATCTTTTGTTCCATTGTATCAATTTTTTCTAGTGGAGTAGCTATGTGGACACAAAAGTCAATTTCATCTCCCATGTCAGGGCTTGAATAAAAGTTACAGATGGGTTAACTAGCAAGGACAGTATTTGGGATTATGATCTGCCTGTCGTCATGTCCCAAGAAAATAGTGTTCAAGATGCCAATCTCTTCCACTAGCATTTGAAATCCATTGCATTTCAATTTAGGCCACAAACATACGAGAAATAGAAAATTGTAAGTCCATAAAGACCAAAGATGACTATATAAGGACGTAGTTCATATGATTATCAACTTACTTGAGTGCCATCAATTTGACAACGGTCACCAACATCAAATGGATGTGTTATAAATATGAAGACAATTGATTGAAATATTGTCTTCAAAGTGTCTCCAAATATGAAAGCAAGCAAAAGAACTTGAGTGCTAACCATGAGGAGGACTTTCCCGGTTGTTATTCCTAGTATAAGGAGACTTACGACTAGTATGAAGATAATGACCAAGACATTTACCACCCGATTAAGTCTTTCAACAACTGTCTCAGTATCATTTAGTGTCAAGGAAAGAGCCCTCCGATCTCTAAAAGCGGTAACCTAAGACATTTAAAGCCATCAAAACACAAACATTTATCATGACATAATAATAGTATTAAGTAAAACAAACTTAGTGGCTTAGATTGCCATATTCTTACCACCCATTTCTCCACTGCTGATTCGTTAATTCTCTTGCTTTCAGATCCTTCTTCAAAGAGACTCATAGTCTTTTGGGCCTCATCTTCTCCCATGAATCTCTCAATGTCCTCCAAGTCAATGTGCCTGATAAAATAGTTATGTCACAAGCCTTTCAAAAGAAAAAAACAATTAAGATTACAATAAACATAGAGAACCACCTCTAATGAAAAAAATATACAAAGACCTCAAGGCAACTTTGACCATACCACTCATTAGTTATGCAATAGACATACACAAAATATATTGTGGATAGAAGTGTAAGAGAAACAAATCAAGAACATACCCAGATCCAGGCTTAGCAACATTTTCAAATATCCTTTTTGCTGCATTTGTCGCCTCGTTTTTGGTTTTAATTTTGGTTGACTTGCTATCTTTTATCTGCTTGTCCAAGGTAGAAAGTGGACTATGCTGAATTATATTCATCAGCCTCTTCATATTCCAAGCAGAAATATTCTTGGGATTCATTTGGTGCAGCTCATCAATGCTTATGCCCCAACTTTTTTTATGTCCGTTCCAAGAAGCCAAGCACAAAAGTGTACTGGTTTTGTCTTGTGGACTTTTCCTCATTTTTCCACTCCCTCCAATTCCCTTCCATTCTTCCTCTATTTTTTGGTTTTTAGGTGGTCCTGAAAGTGCCTCAATCACATACTGATTAAATAAAGAATCTAGGATTCTATCGAAGTATGTGCTCTTATGAAAAGAAGATGCAAGAACTGTCACCAATAGTGTCTTCACAAGCCAAAACATCAGACTCACCACAACACAAACTAAAACCTTAGTAACAAGTCTAACAGCATTACTATTGATTTCTTTTGCAACCTTCTTATCAAACAAGTACTGCCAAACAATCAAAATCAGAACCATCCACAAACTATTTTGAACTATGTTCCTCAATGCGTAAACAAAGTAAAAAACTATTTTCCTCAACGGAAAGTTCATCTCAATGAAAAACACTATTATTCTAATAATCCAACCTGATATCAACCTTCCAGATATAACTACCAAAACCAAGATTGCCCACCTCCATAACTCAAGTATCCATAAATTCTTCTTTCCTAAACTTGGAAGTGTAAGGCTAGAAATCAAAGCCGTAGTTATCAAAATAAAACCCACCCATTGGAGCAAAACCCATAGACTTTTTCTCTCTAAGTCCTCTTTGACTAACTGATCCTGCTCCTCATCTTCTTCCACAAAATTTCCAACTATATGGTCCATCATCCTCGACTTAGTCTTAACCTTTAACAAGCTACTGTGTCTCCGAAATGGTCTTTGAGTGCATTGTAAGGAAGCATTTGAGGAGCACCTCACAACCTCACTGTTATCATTAGTGCCGTCCTTCGCTGGTGACTCTGAAGTTGGATTTTCAAGTGGCAGCTCAATGTCCATAGAAATCTCGTTGGACTCCATTGCTTGCTAACTAGATTAAATTTAAACAAATATGAATTAATGTTAATTTAAATTAATTAAGGTAATTAATTAAAAAAAGAGTCCCCTCATATTGAGCCAAAAGCAACAATATCTCAGAAGAACAGAAATATATAGAAATTAAACGATTATCGCAAAAAAAAAAAAAAAAGATAAATAAAGCAACTAAAGCAGGAGGTGCAAATGCAAACTCCCTTAAGCTTGTTGCACCCCTAACTGATATCACAATAAAATATTAATGGCATGCAAAACCACAAACATGGTTACAACCAAATCTAAGTACACAACAAGTAGAAATTCACCTAATACTCCGTTACCAAGTGCAATCAGTTAGTGCACTCACAAACAAGCAAATAAACATGTCAAGAATGTGCATAATGCAAAACATGTCAAGAATGTGCATAATGCAAAATATGTCAAGTATGATGCATGTATATGTAAATGTAATGAGGCATGAACATGGCAAAAGATGATGAATGACATAGCATGGGTTAGGTGTGCAAATGGGCAAAACGATAAAAAATACCTAACAAAAGACTCAAACAAGGCTTCACCACTCAAAGATAGGAAAGTCAAAAAATTCCCCAAATTTAAAGTATTAGGTTGACCCCTGTAAATCTAGAATATGAAAATTAGATATTCTTACTGTGGGTTTAATCTCCAATGGAGTTGTCAAATTGTTGACGCACATTTACTTAAAATTTCAAAAATTATGTTATCTTGAAATATTAAGTTTTAATGGGAAAAATGGGGGTCGCCACCTACTCAAATAAAGTGGAATGGGTTATCGTTGGTCTACAAGAGATCGGGGCTCAACGGTATGAATAGGAGTGAGGAAGGATGTAAGTGCACCTCACAATCCTCAATGTAGAAACACGGTTCCATGCTATATAAGGCCTTAGTTAACTTAACTCAAAAAGGATGGGTGAGATTGAAAGATTTTTTCAAAACCCAAGACTCAACTGAATGATATCATAAATAAGGATGGTGACTTGGAACAAATTAAGAGCAAGGGACTAAAAGTGAACAGATTAAGAAAGGTTTAGGACAATAAGAAAAGTGTGAATTTTACCAATTCCTATTAATATGGATTAAGACTAATTAAAGAAATTAAGATAATTTATCCTAGTTGATTAAGATTAATTAAAGAAATAAACTTTTATCAAGATAAAATTAACCTTAAAATGGATTTAAATTAATTAGAATTAATTAATGTTAATTAAATACCTTAATTGGCTTAACCTCGTATTTAGCCCTATAACTTATAAATTTTAAGGTTGTTGACCTCATCCAAAAAACTAAGGCGTTTTAACCCCTCAATAGCATCACTTCAAAGAATCCCTTCTTATTTAATGGATTTGAGCTACACACTTTTTGTTTGACGTTGTGTTTATCTTAGTTAAAGACACATTAGCATCTCTATCCTACTTGGTATGCCACCATGGCAAGGCCTTGATTCTCTCTTTTTTTTTTTCTTTTTTTTTCTTTTTTCCCTTTCTCTTTAGTGTGATAGAGTGGGGCTGTATCAAATTGAGAAAGAATTTTCTATTGATTGCCACATTGACATGCCGTGTAGGATAGAAATATTATGTGTCATTGACTAGGATAAAAATAACGTCTAACTAATGATGTACACTTCAAAACCATTAAATAAAGAGAAATTTCCTTAAATTGTATTGTTGAGGATCTAATGCCTTTAAGTTTTTAGGTGGGGGCTAATAACCTTAAAATCTAGGTTAAACCCCCTTTTTGGTCCCTCAACTATTGTACAGGCCCCCGATTGAGTCCCTCAACTCAAAAAATCCCTGACTTGGTCCCTACTGTTTACCATTTTTACCCCAATTTGATCCTTCCGTTAAAAATCTCTCCACGTGTACTGTTAATTCATGGTAAGATGATGACATGTCAAAATTTTAACCCATATGGAAGACAACATGGCAAAAACTAATGACATGGCAATAAAAATTTTAAAAATTCTTTCTCCTTCCTTGTTCCCTTTCTCCTTCCTCTTCCTTTCCTTCTTCATCAATCAATTCTTCATTATCATCATCAAACAACACCCACAAAAACACAGAAATTATTTTTTTTTTTGTTGAAGAACCCAATGCCTAGGTTCGATCGAACCCAGCACCGAGTTTGAAGGAACCCAGAGCTTGGGATCGTCGATCCTAGGCGATGGGTTCCTTCGAGTTCGTTGAACCCAACGCATGGGTTCATTGAACCCAGGCAATCTAGGTTCGATCGAACCCAAGCCTGGGTTTGAAGACCCAGCTAGATTCCAAGGAACTCAAGCTTGGGTTTGTTCGAACCCAATGACTAAGTTTTAACGAACCCAAGCGTGGGTTCGAGGAACCCACGCCTAGGTTC